AAATTATCACCCTGCTCCAAATTGCAACTCAATCAAATCATCTATGTGAGCCAAGCTTCAATTTTTATTTTCTATCCAGATTAGCACATTGCAAAGCAAGTGCTATTTATACCACTCCTATTGCCCTCAAACTTTTTGGTCAATCTTCCATACCAAAATCATTTCCACATGCCAATATTCAACTCTATTTTCCTAGTAAATTTAGCTCGGCAAATTTCCAAAGTTTCTATTCACCTAGAACCTTTGTGAAGGAAGTACAAGATAGGAATATCGTAATGAGTTAAAATTTTGCCACATGTTCTATATGCCGAAGTCATAGCTCTACACAAAAGTTTAGCACTATCTAACAATACATGTGAGCTCACCATCGAATCTTTGTTTCTGGTAATATTTTCAGTTTGTGAAGCAACTACATTTTATGTTTCTTTATAATTGTTGAATATTTACCAGGACATTACCCTGACTATAGAAACTCCCTACACCAAATTTCAGCATAATCCAATCATCTATGTAAGCCCAGCTTCAATTTCCATTTTCTGTCCAAATTGGCACATCGCAAAGCAAGTGCTATCTAGACACCTCCTATTTTCCTCAAACTTTTTGTGCCATCTTACATATACAAATCATTGCCACATTCCAATATTCAGCTCCATTGGCCTATTAAATCTTCCTCAACAAATTTCTAAAGTTTCTATTCAGAGAGAAGCTTTGTGAAGGAGGTACAAGCTAGTATTATGCAAATGGTATAAACTTTTCACAGTGATTTACTATGCCAAAATTACCATACTCCACAAAATTTCAGCTCAATCCACTTATCCATTTGAGCCCAGCTTCAACATCCATATTTCTACCCGATGTGGTACTTTGCAAAGCAAGTGCCATACAAACTCCTCCATTTGAGCTAAAAATTGCCAAGACAATCTCCCTAGTAGATGATCATCCTCACCCAAAACTCAGGCCCATTGGCCTTGTGAATTTCCCGTACCGCTAATCAAACACTTGGCTGCTAATTCATGTTTGAGCATAGTTCGATCTCCTCGTGAGATTCTTCTGTTTTTATTTTCTTCCAAGCATCTACCTGTGGATTGGCAAACCTACTAGACATGCCTAGGCTTCCCATAACGCACGACAATGCCACGGTCACGCGGTGACCACGCGACGGGCATGCGAGTCTACGCGCTTTGGAGTTGGGGTCCTGGGCCACCATCCAAACCTCAACGTATCACCACCAAACCATGTATTTATGCTTAAATAGATAGTTATGTACCTAGAAATAATTTTTGGAAAAAATAAAGAGCAAACTATAAGGCAGCTGCAGTTCAAATTTGACCCGCTTCCTACTGAATCGGGTGCAATTTGTCTTTTTCACCAGAGGTGGATAAAAACTTTTTACACCCAACCATTTTGTCAATTGTGCATTGAACATGGCCTAGTATTTTATAAAATTTATTTGGTCCAATTTTGCAACAAATATATGGTAGATTCTTCACAAAAAAAATTTCATTTCGGGCACTCGGAAAATGGAAAATGAATTTTCCGTGCAACGAAAATGAAAACTCCCTTAGGCAACATTGTTTGGAATTCCAAGATGCACTCTTGTGCACAATATGAGATCATTTGAACAAACTATGCCATGAATGTGGCCATAAGATTGATCATTTGGCTTGAAAGCCATGAATCTTCACGCATGATAGCTCATTTCTGAGAACATTTTTTTAAAATAATTGCCATATTACAAGTTTATTATTTTTCCTGGAAACTTGGTCACATATGATGACACAACGCGAAGGTTTTCCAATTTTTTGATTTTTTTTGAATTTTTTATGCCCGTTTCAAAATGCGGTCAAAAACAGCGGGCTTGACCGTTCCTAGCTAGTGGTTAAATCTTGGAATCTTTTTGATGGTTCTATGATTAAATAGATACTTTTGTACCTAGAAATTATTTTTGGAAAAATAAAGAGCAAACTACAAGGCAGCTGCAGTTCCAATTTGACCCGCTTCGAACTGAATCGGCAGAAATTTGTCTTTTTCACGAGATGTGGATCAAAACTTTTTACACCCATCCATTTGGTCAATTGTGCATTAAATATGGCCTAGTATTTTAGAAAAATGATTTGGTACAATTTTGCAACAAATATATAGCAGGTCTTTAAAAAAACTCATTTCGGGCACTCAAAAAATGGAAAATTAAATTTCCATGCAAAGAAAATGAAAACTCCCTTAGGCAACATTGTTTGGAATTCCAAGATGCACCCTTGTGCACAATATGAGATCATTTGAACAAACTATGCCATGAATGTGGCCATAAGATTGATCATTTGGCTTTGAAAACCTTGAATCTTCACACATGATAGCTCATTCTGAGAACACTTTTTAAAAATAATTGCCGTATTACAAGTTTATTATTTTTCCTGGAAACTTGGTCACATATAATGACACAATGCGAAGGTTTTCCTTTTTTTGTTTTTTTTTGAATTTTTTATGCCCATTTCGAAATGCGATCAAAATGACAGGTTTGACCGTTCCTAGCTAGTGATTGAATCTTGGAAAGGTTTTGATGTTTCTCTGATTAAATAGATACTTATGTACCTAGAAATGATTTTTTGAAAAAATAAAGAGCAAACTATGAGGTAGCTGCAGTTCAAATTTGACCCGCTTTCAATTGAATCGGCAGAAATTTGTCTTTTTCACGAGAGGTGGATAAAAACTTTTGACACCCAACCATTTGCTCAGTTGTGAATTAATTATGGCCTAGTATTTTCTAATATTTATTTCGTTCAATTTTGCAACAAATATATCGTATGTCCTTCACAAAAAAAACTCATTATGGGCACTCGGAAAATGGAAAATGAATTTTCCGTGCAAAGAAAATGAGAACTCCCTTAGGAAACATTGTTCGGAATTTCAAGATGCATACTTGTGCAAAATTTGAGATCATCTGAACAAACCATGCCATGAATGTGGCCATAACATCAGTCATTTAAGCCGTGAAGACTTTTTTAAGATAGTTATCGTAGTCCAGGTTTGTTATTTGTCCTCTTCGTCCTTTTGAATCGGGGGATAATCTTGCTCCTCTCTCTCTATTCCCCTCTGCAACCTTCATGTCCTCTGTCCTTCATAACCTCTCCTAAGTCTGTGCCCTCTCCCCCCGGTCGGCGAAGATGCCACTGCTATGATGGCTGCGGTTCGACGACGGTGGTGAAGATTTGTTGATGTGAGGGGCATCGAAGCTCATGGTGTGGGGCAGTGATGCGTGGCGCCGCAGGCTGCCGGGTAGTGGCCACCGGTCATGCACACGACAATGGTGTCGCAAGGCCGCCGGGGGTTGCAGCAGAAGGTGGTGCTGCAATAGTCACCAGTGATGCAACATAGCATCGCCGCGGACTGCCGGTGTTGTGATCCAACATTGTCGGGACCGACGGAGTTGCAATGAAGCATTGTCGGGCCGCCAGTGTTGTGATGTAATATTGTCAGGGGTCGCTGGAGTTGCAACAAAACCTCCCCGAGTTAGTCAATATGGTATAATGTTTTTGAAAAATGAAGAGGTGCCCTTTTGCAACTAATATTGGATAGGTTATTTACATTAGTGAGAAAATATGTAAGAGAAACAAAAGAAAAAAAAACCAATTACATAAGCTTAATTAATATTGGTGGAAACATATGTGCCATGGATCGTTGACATGGGACACATCCATCCATCCATCTTTTCATCCCACATCCATCCATCCACCCACCCAGCCACGCGTTGTGTCCCACCCACCCAGCCACGCGTGGAGAGAGAGAGAGCGAGAGTCTCCTCCTCCCCTTCCAGATCGCCGCCGCCACCTCTCCCTCGCGCCGCCACCAGCACCACTCCTTCCGAGCGCGTGCCGCCCATCGTCCTCCTATCCTCCTATCTCGCCGCCCATTCATCCGAGCCCGACGACGCCAGATCCGCGCGCAGCCCATCGTTCTGCACCTCCCGCAGCAGATCCAGGGCACTGCCGAATCTCACTGTCGACAGATGCACCGCCGCCCTGCAGCCTCGGCGTCGCGGTCGGCTGGCTCGCCACCGCGCGCGTGCTTCATTGCGCGCCGCTCCGTCGAGCTGGATCCTCGGAAGGCCGCCGTCCACCTCGCGCTGTAGGGAGGGGTCCATCGTCTCCTCGGAGGAGGGGACGGCCATGTTTGTTGTACTCCACCCTAGCAGTCGATCCCGGTCGTTTGCTGCTTCACCAGCCTCCTCCTCTAGCATCTCCGCAAGGGCACCCGACGACAGGCAGGTCGTCGACGCGCTGGACCTCAAGGCCGGTTGTGCTGCTCCTTCTGCCTACGTCTTTCCTCGACAACGTCCCCGACCTGCATCCAGCTGCTCCTTCCCCAGCCCTCCTCAACTTCGCTCCGGGTGAGCTTCTGTAGGTGAGACAACTGACTCCATCTGGTAGAACTACTGCTGTTGTAGGTTGGGTGTATAGAACAACAACACCTGAGGATTATTTGATGTTCAGGGGTTCATCTGTGTTTTACTTGTTGCTATATGACTTCTTGTTAAGGTAATCACTATGCGTACGGTAGTTTTGCCTGGCTTTCACCATGCTGTGGACATTAATCTTGCAAGGGCTCTTTCAGTTATGTCCTGTTAGGGGGACATGGAAAATTCAGTTATGTCCTGTTAGGGGGACATGGAAAATTCAGTTATGTCCAGTTAGGGGTACAAGCAAGTGTTCGGTGAGTCACTTAACTGATGGAATAAGGTGTCTATACAAATGCCCAAAAATTCTGTACAAAAGTAGAAATAGAGCTCGGCAAAGCTTGACTTCTATAGTTCAATGCGCGAGGTCGTCAAGGCACGATTCAGTCAACAACTTTTCGGAATACAAATTTTGTGCCCTGTACATGACAAGCATTTATAAGACCTTCTGCACATTTATAAGACCCTGTTTTTATACATCTGTGTAAAACAGTCCAATGTGATTCTAACTGCTGATAGTTCATCCAGAAGAAAAAGGAGAACGGGCAACATGGAGAAAGATGCGGTGCTGGTGTGCATGGTCCTGGGCTTTCTGGGCTCCGTCGCGGTCACCCTCGGCTTCGTCGCCAACAACTACAGCTCCAAGGCATGGATCCAAGATCGAACATCACAATTCTCTTTTCATCAATTCGATAGATCTGTGCTAACTAAGTATATGTTAGTCTGTGCAGTACAACGGGACGAACTGCGTGTACCGGAGCCCGCCGGCGACGGATCTCGGCATCCTGGGGGTGTTCCTGGTGTTCATCAACCAGGTCATCCTCGCCGCCTATGCCAGCGGCTGGTGCCTCTGCATGTGTTGCTGCTGCCCCTGCTGGACCAAGCGCCGCCGGCTGGTGCCAACACCGTCCAAGTGGAACCCAGTATAGAGTTCGGACGCTGATTTAACTAGTTAAAACCTGTCCATTATTAACTAACCCATGTTTCTTGATGGTGTTTATCTCCATGGGATATAAAATGTGTCAATGTTAATATTGCACTAGTCCTTGTTGCTCTGTTGGCGTTAGTTACCTTCTTGTCACATTCTCCCTCCATCCGACAATATAAGACGTTTGTGCAAGCTAACATTACTTGCAAAAATGACTTACATTATGGGACGGAGGGAGTAATAGAAGGTGAATTCTTATACACTTTTAAGTCCTGTTAATAAGTATTCAGGGGGGCATATTCGTTTCATGAATCATCTATAAATATCATTCACGTGGTACTGGGTCAGTTTCTAGCTACCATTTCTATACACATTATCTGTGTGTTGGCGCTAGTAGTTTCATGACTTGCTATTCTTATTCAAGTGGGCGAACTAAGTCATTTTTATTCAGTTTGTGTTCTGCTATGCCAAAGCCAGAAATATGACCAACACTACACTTTTCACCACTCCACTCCCTCCCATGCAAAATCATCTTCTCAGCTCTCACCCGTCGACGGGGAATTTTCCAATCGACACTTCATTTCGTTACTAGTACGTATTACACACACATGCTCCACAGCAAATCCAACTGCATTCTCTTGTCAATTTAGGACTGGTAAGTAGGTGCCGCTGAGTTTGAGTGAGTGGTAAACAGTATAGAGCTCGGACGCTAATCAAGTTGATTTAACTAGTAGATGTCTAGATTAAACCTGTCCATTATTAACCCCTGCTCCTTGATGATGTCGATGTCCACATCCACAATATGTAAACGTGTCAATGTTAATATTTCACTGATCCTTACTATTTTGTTGGCCTTAGTTAACTTTTTGTCATATAATAAAAATGTGATCTCGTTATACAATTTTGGGTTGTGTCAATTAATAGTTTGGAAAGCCTACAAGCCCTCTTATAGTTAACTAAAAGGTTGTTGAACATTTTTAACAACTGACTGTTGGACATTCCCATGCTGTACGTCACTGATTATGTACAACTTGGTACAAAATTGGTCTGATATTAGTCTTATATCACAAAAGTAGGGAGGTTCCTGCTGCTTATTAGTATCGGCTTTGGATTATTACAGTGTTTGGTTCACCACTGTACTGATTATCTTGGTGAGCATCTGTTTAATAACTGGAATACATTGTCTGCTGGGAATTCTATTTACCTTTGCGTACTACTCCCTCCGTCCGGAAATACTTGTCATCAAAATGAATAAAAGGAGATGTATCTAGATGTATTTTAGTTTTATATACATCCCTTTTCGTCCATTTTGAGGACAAGTATTTTCGGACGGAGGGAGTATTACAAATGTCTGTGAGGGTCCTTTGTGCTACTAGTATAATTTCATTCATGAATTCTGCACATAGATTTTTCATCCTGCTATAAAATTGCTTGTGCATGAATCTGTTTGCTGTTGTTAGTCAGAAGTCGATTATTACTGGTGTGTTCAGGATTCTATTTCTGTCATCTAAAATATGTGTTAATTCTGATACAGCATAAAGAGCTATGTGAGCCCTCCTGGATGGGGCTTATGTTGGACCTCTGATTGAGCTCCCCATAGACTTTGACCCAAGGTAAACACGAATTTGCTTTTATTGTTGCTGCAAATGTCCCTGTCTTGTAGATAATAGTTTATGAGGAAACCCTGTGGTAACAAAACCATATGTCATGGGAGTGTGACATGTACTGTTTGTGAATGCCTGTGATTGGATTATTGGATATCTGCAGATTATATGTCCTTATCCATCATTGTCTGGTTGTTCTTGCAAGCATTATTAGTTAGGTTGTGTAGGTGCCAAATTCTGCTTCTGGATTAGTCTATTGTTCTCCTCAGACCCTCCTTTTTCCAACATTGTCTGCTGTTTGGATGGGCCGCTATCATTATAGTATTTTAATTGATGCTACCTATATTGACAGTTTGTACCTGGGCCCTTCGCGGTGGGGTTTGGACCCTGTGTCTGGGTTATTTTTATTGAACTTTGGCCTGCTCATGGGTAGGCCTTCATTTTTTTGGTGGTTCTGAATTTGTGTACCTACAGTTCTACAAAATTGATACGATTGATTGTTTTGTTACTTGGACAATAGCTTGCTATTTATGTACCTACAGTTCTAGTTTGTTGCTGCTCAATGCTCACATTTGTTTCTCATCCTTGCTATTTATGTTGGCTGACATAACTTGCATGTTGCTCTTGTGCGACCAGCATCCTCGTGACAGGGTTTGTCGGAACCGCCATCGCTTTAGGGTGCTTCTCCGGCGCCGCCATCATCACCAAGCGCAGGTAGTACCTGTACCTCGGTGGCCTGACCTCTTCTGGCATGTCGGTCCTTCGACATGAAACTGTATGCTTGGTTTCTTCTCTTCCTTTTGGTGCGCATGCCATTACTGCATGGTGACCACGTAGGTAAAGCTTGCAAGTCGATCGCAGTTAGAATTGGCGACTGGAAAGAAGCGCACACCTAGGTCGATCTATCTGCTGGTCGCTGCGAGCATTGTTCTTCTAGTGTGATCCAGGCCAATGGCAGCATGCCTACATTTATATTTACTAGAGATGCATGCATTTCTTTACATGCTTGACAAACAAAAGTCGTTGCTGCTGCTAGGATAGGTCATAGCAGTAGCTTGCTGGCTAGCTAGTGTATGTTGAATTGCTGGTCAACTCAGCCTTTGGGCCTGGCTGCTAGTACATCTATGTATAGCTACCTAGGTAGGAGTAGCTATGTGGCGCATGCAGTGGATTATTGAAATATTACAATATCTTGATCAGCAATGAAAAGCATCGAGATGCAGATTTATACTGGCATGCGCACGTATGCATGCAGCATGCTGTGTATGTGCACACTTGTGTACATCGGTAGCAACAATATGCAGTGATGGTGCCAACCATATGGATGAAGCTTATAAACCAAGCATGCATGCACAGTAGTGATGGTTTTGCTAGCGAAAATATAGCAGCACTTACATAGTATACACTAGGTGCCAACATTTGTGATTCGTGTCAATATGGTCTGACCAACTGTGCTTAACGGTGTTGTGTCCTCTTGCAGCTCAAGAACGCAGGTGACAAGAAGAGGAAGAGGAGGTCCTGAACGTTTCTCCTGCACATCGTAGATGCCACCACCGTGGCCTTGTAGGAATTAAGCTGGCGTTGTGCCACCCTTGTGTATCTGTTTTTGATTGTATGTAGAAGTTGGACGTGCATACGTGTATTTGCTCTTGTGAGTATTTGACTGGATGTTCTCTGGATTTAATCAGTTAATTGACAGATTTATTGATATTTTGTTGTTCAAATGTGTAAATTGAAGTCTGTGAATGAAAAACACCAAATGTTCTACTTGACAAAGTAATATTTGGGCTCTAAAAATGCTGCGACCCAGACTATAGTGGATCAGAACCTTGTGCATTTCTGAAAAACCAGAAAAATAGGCTTAATGAAATGGTCCGCGAAAAGGCCATGACCCAAAATAAAAAATGCCAAATTGTTGGGCCAGGCCCATGTAGCTAGAGAAAATTAACAGAAAAATATATAGTAAAAAGGCTCTATTAGTGGGCTCGGCCCATGTAAAGCGTCGAATTGGACTGGGCTGAATCTTATCAACGACCTTCTCAATTGGTCGCAATTTTGCCACGTCAGATTGCCACGTCGGATCCGACGTGGCCTAGACAGAGAGCTAGCGACCAAAACAGAAGGTCATAGAATCAATGACCTTTTGTTTTGGTCATGGAATTCCACGACCTTCTCACAGAGAAGGTCGTTAATTTCAGTTTACGACTGCCAGCTTTTGACCATCTGTTTTTGGTCACAAAGGTTGCAAATAAAAAACAATGACCTTTCAGTGACCAATAGTCAAGGTCACAAGTTGCCATATTTCTTGTAGTGCTATGTCATGCTATCCATTTTAGTTAAATAATATACATGTCAACTATTTCATGCCCTCTTTTTCCCACCCTATCTATTGCATCTTTCTCTCATACAATGTCTGTACATTCAACTATGTTTCCTGTTTATCAGCCATTGGAATTGGAGTGGTTGATGGCAGTATCTAGCGGAGTGAAAACACGGTCTTCAAATAAAACAGTGCTACCGCTTGGTGGAGATAGCACCCCGGTTGTACATGCACGGGAACCAGCCCTACCACACATAACCCAGACTCTCGGAGATTGTACCCCTACTGCGATGTTCAGAGAACCAACTTCACCCAATCTAACCCCAACCCCAGCAGATAGTAACCCAGTTCCTATTGGCACAACACCATGTCCACCACAGAGCTCCCAAACAAGAGCAGTTAGTAAGGCAGCTCCAGTGCCCAAAGGGCTAGTACTACCACGGCGAACCCCAACTCCACCAGTTAGTACGTCTTTTCCTGTGGAGGAAGCACAACCAGCCAGTCGTAGTTTAGCATCTATTGCATTTGATGTTGTTAAATCCTATGTGCTTATCTTCCCATGTTGGAAATATTATATTGAAGATGAAGGAAAATGCCAGTTGCAGGTGTTTCTCTAGGAGTTATGTGTAAGTAATGTTATTCATGGCAATTACTTTGCTTTTTCCCATACATTCTACCTCCATGATGGTTATAATATAACAAATTTTCCCATTTTTCTCTATAGAGAAGGACCGATTTAGAAAGTCATGATGAGGTAACCTCTGCTAATACCTCTGCTATCTTCAAGAATGCTTGGTGGCAGTATCGGAATTACCTAAAGAAAACGTACTTCACTAGCAAAGAAACTCATCAACCCTTATGTTCTCCTGAGACACATTTACTGGACGATGACTGGGAACGCCTTGTTCTGTACTGTTCCCGAACCAAGAATGTGGTAAGGTCTATGAGCTCATTTTTAAGTATTGTATTCTTGTGTCTTACTGTACTCTATTCATGTAGAACAAGTGCTTAAACCTGAAGAACAACTATTCTAATTTAAGATTCCATTGCTATCGTGCATACCGCCTTGCTCTTGTATCACTGTATTTACTTATACAAACTTATTTTTAAATTGAAGGATCCAACCGAAACTCCATTGGCATAACAGGTATGTTCACGCATGTTTCTTTAACATGTTTTCTCTTGTCAATAGCTCTGTTGATTTCAATTTCAATTGTGTATACAGTTGACTTCTCATATCATGCACATTACTAGCATCACAACAGAGCCAATAGTGTTATTGTAGATGTAGACCCGCCGTACCCATCTGAAATCTTGTTGTGCCATGTAGTTTCCCACACTTTGTATTCTTTCACTACTACTTTGTCTTGAACTGATATGATTTGAACCGTGTCTCTATTTTGATTTGGCAAGACAATGAAGTGACCATAGGACATAGATATATTTTTGTTTGATGCATTTATTATGTACTAGTACTTGGCAATAGAAGACTTAGTAGTTTAATCATGTCCACCTTTCTAATGAACTGGTTCACCGAAATGAGTTTCATATACTAGTACATGCTAAACCTGTTATGTGTCTCCTTGTTTCGTCTTTAGAATGCTGACAGAATATTGGGGAAGAGTGCCTTATTAAGCAATGGTAAAGGAAGTAATGCAGATAAGGTTCAGGATAGTGAGATATCCTTGTTGGTATCCAACAAAACTAATAAAATAGCTAAGGAAAACTATCTTGAAGACAGTGAGACAACCCGAAAGTCCTGTCTTGGTTTAGTGTTCGAGTTACTGGCCACTACTGCTTGCACAAGCTATTCAAACTCACTGTTTGAATCAGTTTGGTTTCTTGAGTCTCAACTACAAGCTAAAATACATCGATCAGCTGTGCCGTGACAAGAAGCGGAAGGACTGCGGAAGTCCCTGGAGCATTCAGATGCATACTTTCTGGTGCAACAACAAGCATTGGAGGATTTTAGCGCCAAACAGGACAAAGCTAATAAGCTTGCTAAACTTACTGCTAGCATGGTGGATACCCAGTATAACATTTCTTGAGCTCTTCTGAAGTTGTTTCAGTTGTGCTCTTGTTTTCCTGCCGCGTTTATTTGCCCTGGTGGCCAATTTTGACGACTAGTGTATATATATGTTGCTTTGTTCCCTATATTTGCACTGGCGGCGAACTTTGATGCCCACTGGATGTAATATGTGTGATAGCCGTAATAGGCTAGCGTTAGTTGCTTGCTTATTTATTTACTTATTGTCTTGTTTAGTTGTTTGCTTGTAGTCACTGCAGTTCTTTTTCTGCATTTTTCTAGTGGCCACAATAACCTATTTTTGGTAACAAGGCCATAATAATCATGGCAACACATGGACTGTTGTAACCATGGGCCTCCTGCGGGCCGTAGGATCCTTGGGCCTTCTACGGGCCATAGGATCCACGGACTTTCTACGGGCCTTATGATCCATGGGCCTTCTACGGGCCATAGGGTCCATTGGTCTTCTACGGGCCGTAGGATCCATGGACCTTCTAAGGAGCGTATAATCATTTCGCCAAACATGGGCCGTACTATTCGTGGACCATAATGGGCCGTTAATAGGTCGTGCTTGATAATGCTATGAAAACAGCCTAACGGGTTAACGGGCCACAAAAGGGCCCAATGAAAACACGGGCTGAATTTGGCCCACATACAGAACATGCCAGTAACGGACCGTAACTAACCGAATTCTAGAAATGACGCCAAGAATAAATGTGCCCTTGGAAGGCCGAAAGTTAACACGGGATGGAAACGGCCGATGAAATAATGGGTCGTTAATGGGTATAAAGTGATACATTATTCATTATGGGCCAGTTTCATCTCGGGCCTTTATTGGGCCCAGAGTTACGAAGGGCCTCACATGGGCCGAAAGACATCTTGGGCCATACATGGGCCGGAAGTAACAACGGGATGGAATCATATTGGACGGCCCAGATGAAGCTACTTGGCTTAATTCCGATAGGTTGTAACGGTCCGGGAGTTCGCGGGCCGTAAATGGGCGATATACGAACATGCCGATAATAGACTTTCCCTAGGCCGGCCTGTTACCTTTTAACCAAGTCAAACAGGCCGGCCTTTTCACCGGAACGGGCCTCTGTTGGGTCGTTCCATGTGTCGACATATCATAGGCGCCTCCTGTCCAATGAGTGGATGAAATCTGTCCCAATGGTGAGCCAACACGTGTATCCTCTGGCCAATGAGAATTTTACACGTGGAAAATCCCCATTGGTCCGGGCTGTTAACGGGTTATCGGATCAAAAAACCCGATAGCTTAACGGCGACCTGTTACGGTGGATGTCACGTGTCGGTCACCCTTGACGAAAACACTTCTATGACGCATGATTTATCGTCATGGAAGTGGATACTTCCGTGATGATAATTTTGGTAATGTCATGGAACACTTCTACAACAACACAAGTATGACTATCTTGATTCTGTCATAAAATTGTCATGGATGTACATGCATGACATAAAACGTGACCTACTGTGACAA